GGACCACTGAGAAGGGGATTGCAGTAGTCAAGGTGAGAAATAACAATTGCACGGATCAGCACCTTAGCTGCGTCTGGTGTTACATAAGGGTGTAGAAACTGCAATGTTTACATTGCAGGGTTAAGACTGCCGCTAGTGGCAAACTGAGACAGCTTTGCGGAACTCCGGTGCTAGAATCGGGTAAGTGAAAGAAAAGGTTTTAACCCTTTCATGACCGAGGACGGGCACGGACAGCGCTGTATCTAGCGCGAGGCTGACAAGCATTTGCCTTGGGCAGCACTTTAAGGGGGGCGGCAAAAAAAGGAGCACTTCAAACGCCCTGGCAAATACCTTGCCAGCCTCTTTTCCTGGAGGACCCAAGAACTGGCCGGCTGGCCACCTCAGGCCCCCCCCCAAGGCTGACGTCACTCCTGCAGCACGGAGAGGCACGCGAGAGAGCTGAGTAGGAGTATCGGAGCCCGCTCACTGACCACCTCCAACGTTCACCTGCTTGTCCGACCGCCCGCGCCTGCCGAGCCAGCCCACCTGTGCCTGCCGAGTCAGCCCCACTGGACCCAATGGGGGAACATTACCCTTCAGCAACTTAAAAACTGAGTAAAAAAATTGTGTGTGTTTGTGTGAGTTAGTGTGTCTGTTAGTGAGAGTGTGTGCATCTGTTAGTGAGTGTATGTGTCTGTCAGTAAGAGTGTATGTTTGTCTGTTAGTGAGAGTGTGTGTTAGTGAGAGTGCATATGTGTCTGTCACTGGGAGTGTATATGTGTTTGTCAGTGAGTGTGTATGTGTGTCTGTTAGTGAGAGTGTGTGTGTCTGTTCTGGTCCGAATGGTTCTTATCTGCCGTCACATTCTATGTTTCTATGTCTGTCAGTGTGTGGATGCATGTCTGTCAGTGTATGTAAGAGTGTTTCAACATGTCTGTCAGTGGGTGTCTGACACAGTGTATGTCTGTCAGTAAATGTGCATGTCTGTCAATCTGTGTCTGTCAGGGAATGTGTGTGTCTGACACTGAGTGTATATATGTCTGTCAGTGAGTGTGTATGTGTGTTTGTCAGTGTGTATATGTGTGTCTCAGTGTGTGTATGTGTCTGTCGGTGAATGCATGTCTATCAGTTAGTGTATATGTGTATCTGTAGGTGAATGTGAGTGAGTGTGTATGTCTGTAAATGTGTATGTTTCAGTGTGTGCTGGTTAAACAGTGTGTGTGACAATGACTGTATCTGTAAGTGAGTGTATGTCAGTGCATGTATCAGTGAGGGCTTGTGTCTGTCACGAAGATAAATTTGGAGGGGGGGTGCTTGAGTCGTGACTAGGGAAGCACAAAACCAGAATACACCACTGGGCCCAGAGGCAAAGGGACACTATAGTGTTAGGAATACAGTTTTATTTTCCTAACACTATAGTGTTCCTTTAAGTATCACAATGGTAGGAAGAATAGGAGTGGTCCCGGTGGTTTATAAAGTTTATTTGACTTGTAAACCTTTGCCTGCTGTCTCACTCTTCTGGCAGCCAGTTGGTCAGCATAGCATATTTCTGCCATCGTGCCAGGAAAAAGCAAGTGGGCAAACATTTCCAAATACGAGAAATGCAAATTCAACATCAATTCATTACTTGATAAGTCAGTGGAAGTATTTGTTGTGTTCACTCTGTTCCCACACATACATAGAAATATTTTGGAATATTGGTTAATTGATTGTTAGCAAAGTGTTCTCGGTGACTTTTCAAGTCATTTTAGGTGTTAAATTCTCCTTAAAAGGAACACTCCAGGTACCATAGTAACTTAATCTCTTACCAAAAGGGGTTAGAGTGTTACAAACTGTTTAACCCCAGGTTTTGAAGATTACACCCGTCCACTCTGCCTTATGGTTTCTGATGATGTAATCAGCTGATGCACTCAGCCTATCACTAACTCCTCATTTACTAATCTCACCAGTGATAGGCTGAGTGCAACAGCTGTCAATGTGGCATACTAGCTCCCATGTCAGTGACGTCCACCTCGAGGCTTCCTCAATGTTATCTTTGTTTTAGATTCATGAACTGAATAGAGAGCATTAAAGTTGTTTGGGAGGTAACAGGAAGATGACACACAAAGAAATACTGGAAAAATTGTTTGCAAAAAAAACAGCATGGAAAGTTCCGATAAATATATTATCTTTAAAAAAATGTTTTTTGCAGAATGCTGTACCATTAGCCTATCTTCTTAGCTATTAACCCTAATGCCAGAAATACTTCATTATCAAAGGTATGCACACAGCCACTGACAGCACTGACAGATTTGAAATACAAAACAATCTGCATTAGAAGGAGAGAATGCCAAGGGAGACATATAGTAAGGATATCACTACCTGCTTGTGTTTTTTCTGACTGTCTGCAACTAGGTTATGAATTAAAAGAAGCTCTCCTTATGCTGTCAGAGGCTAAGACTGCGTACATACATTTAATAAGGAAGCCTTTTTGGCTTAAGAGGGTGTGGCTAAGGAGGCAGGCTTATGGTGAAGCATTCTGCGAAACATTAACAAGGTTATTTACTAAGGTGAGTATTTAAAGTGAATTTCTAATTCAAGGTAAACATAGCCAAATTGTAAAAATTCTCTATGCCAGTTATGCTTTCAGTTAATCTATTTTGGCCTAAAATGTGAACTTCACTTTGAATTCTCACTTTAGTGAATAACCCAGTTGTTTTTATTTATTGTTTTGTGCAAAAACTGTATAGAGTTGAGCATATAAAAAATACTATATATGAATGAGGATGAACTCTATCAAATGCATTAAAGCTCTATTTGTGCCCAGAGTGTATTTTTACTGAGCCTTTTCCCAGTATTAAAATGGTCTCCAATTTACTGGTTAAGGTAATTACTCTACCATAAACAATATATCCTCTTTAGCAAACAACTTATGTTAAGCAGTTGCCTTTGTTATAATAAATATGATGTACATGTTTCTACTAATGGGAATCCATTAAAATCAAATGGTGATCTGTTTCAGGATCACTTTTGCAGACATGGAGTTACATTACATATGAAATTAATAAAAAAATATATATATATATATAAAAAAATAAAATCACACAAAATGATGATTGCTAATGATAGTGGGAGAAATGGTGTAGACAGATGGTGTAATATTTCCAGGCAAAAATATAACTTGCTTTCCATATTTTTGTTTGTGGGTTTGTTTTTGAAGAACCGGTGGAGTTTTTTCCTATATTGATTTTTTTTTTAGCGTAGGTTTAGCAAGTCAGTGGCTAGTTCTCCTCGGTATGTTGTAATAAAATTTGTTGTTTTCTGTCCTACACTGTTGATGAGTATTTTTGTATTATTTTGATATATTTGTAATATTTTTACCACCCATCCATTGTACAGCTCTATCTGGATTATATGCTAAAGTGTAAATGGTCAGGAATTCAAAATTAATTCAAAGCAAAACTGGCAAATGTTAGGTAAAAATATCCAAACTAGAACCAGCTAACATATCTTAGAATGTTTTAATTTAAGCTATTTTTGCCTAAAAAGTCAAATTAACTTTCACTTTTCAGACAATTCACACTTTAGTGAATATCCAAAATTACTTTTCACATGTATTTGACTGTTAATGTGACATAATAAATTGTGCTTGATTTTTATTTCTTTCCTTACATTGGGATTCCTTAATATTGATTACCTTTGTTTTCTTTTTGTTTTGTTTTTTGCAAACATTACACAATAAAGCGAAGTTGCACAAAGTATGAATTGTAACAGACTGAAATGTGACATCTGTTTGGCATTTGTCCAAGTTTATGGTATGTGAAGCAAGAGTTCTTGTTGATGTTGAAATTATTTGTCCACTACACATTTCCAGAATATGGGCTGAATTTTCTTCAACTACAAGTCAAGCAGGAAGCCTTTTTCTTTGATTCTTTCAAATTCACCACATTATGCTCAACTAATAAAGACGATTTCTGGAGATAAAGATAAAGGAATCAGTCGTAAAAGGACAGAGAACTCGACATAAAGAGTGTAGCATATTTCAACCTCTTACAGAAAAACACCTTTGAACTACTCTTGAGCACTCTACCATTTAAAACATGTAAACAACATTTATATTAAACACAAATCATTTAGGTAGGATAAAGAAAGAGAATGGTCTGTTTGAACAAATTCCTTGTCATTAAGTACTTTTATTAAGGACAAGTATTTTCACGTAACCTGTAAATATTTATTTGGGAATAAATATTTTTGGGAATGCATACTCCCAAACTGCAAGTGTGTTGTGTATGATGTGGATTGTGCATTTTGCCTGTTTAACGTTTCAAATAAATATATTTCTCATATAGCGCCAGGTACTGTTCCAACCAACTTAAATCTCAAGATTCCTGCATTTGACCCCTCTGTGTGCCTTATAACACCTGGTTTTGTGTTAATGAATAGGGCCATCCTTTACTTTGTCAATGTCCAATGTCTACAAATTGAAGACTCAAGTAGAGACTTAGTTTGACTGCTGGAGAGGAGAAAATGCAGGAAAAGTAAGCATGGGTATATGCAGATATGCACTTTGGCCATAATATATATAATATATATTATATACATGTTTATAATGACATGTGGAAAACTATGTTTAAAAATAAATGATACCTCTGAAATACTCAATTTTGTTCTTCAACTGTTGCTAATGTAGCATTGTCACTTATGGGGTCTTTTCGTTTTTCATAGCACATATGCTTGCATGACCAAGGTAAGGAAAATATACTTGCAAAAATCCCTTCCTCACATGGCCACTTACAGTTCTCAGTCCCCAGATGAAGCAGATAGTTTCAAAGTAATCTTTGTATACGCAAAAAAGCAAAACAGGGTTCAGAGGAAGATCCTGAGTGATGAATGGATCCTCTATTAGCCTTCTAATTAATTTGGAATGAGATGCCATAGACAATGGCAAGATGTGACAGGTGAAAGCTGGACCCATCCAAGTCACCAAACATTATTATTATTATTATTACTAAAGCAGATTTAAATGTAATTTACTCTCCATGCAGTGACTTATTAAGTAATGAAGTGTGTCAACCCCATGTTTACAAAAGGCTAAGGCATCCTTTAGCACTTCAGATGTTATGGACTACATCTCCTATAATGCTCTTACGACAATAATGCAGGCAAACTATCAGGAGAGATGTAGTCAACAATATCTGGAGTGCCTTAATCTATGATAAAAGGATTAAGTGTATAAATTTGTACTTAATATTTTTTTGGGAGGGAGTGGGGTTATTTGGCCTGCAAAGTATACTTTCATGTATTAAAATAATTATAATAGTTGACCATAATATTCCTGCAAGCAATAGGACAACATCTTAACATGCCCTGCCAGGTACCCATATGATATGCGTGAACAAAGACAGCAGTGCCTTTTAAATGCCTAGCTACTGATACGAATAGGAGTATATCACATAAAAACATACCTCCCAACATTCCAAATGCACAAAGACGAATACTGTAAGTTTAGGGGTGTAAGTTGGGATGTACCCAGGAGCAGGGCTGTTGAGATACATTTTTGGTGACTTACTAACAAATATTTTTGCAACTAAAATATAATTCAGAATAATAATGTATTTGCACAGCTCAAGTTCTAAAGAGACTTATTGCAATTTACATTACGCTGAGTATTATTGCTTTGGAGCTCTGTTATACACCCAGACACCATATAGATAGACTCTTAGAAAAGAGGGACATGTATAGAAGATATAAAAAGAGGTACATGGGCCCAAAATAGGAACAGTCCCATCTAAAGAGAGACTGTTGGGAAGTATGTCAAAGTTTTCCAGTTTAATTTGCACCATTCTGCCCTTGTGCTTTTTAAAAAGCGTTTCTCACTGGCTGTAGTGTTCGGGCCAGTTGAAAAGTTGTTTGCCATGTCCATCAACTTGTTTAGAGAAGACATATACACTGATCAGTCACAACAGTAAAACCACTGACAGGTGAAGTGAAAAACATTGATTATATCATACAATAACACCTGTCAGCAAGTGAACAGTCAATTCTTGAATTTCATGCGTTGCAAGCAGGAAAATGGGCTAGTTTAAAGATCTTAGTGACTTTAACAAGGGCCAAATAGTGATGGCTAAACTTAAACTACTTGGTCAGAGCATCTACAAAACCGCAAGTCAAAATTAATAAAAATCATAATTTAGTAGCTATACACCCAACGAATATACTGCAAATCTCATATCTGAATTATTTACAAGCCATCCACTTCTAACCCAGCCTAGGCTTTCTGTGGCTGTCAAATGACCAACTTCCCAATTCTGCAAATGCCTTTTGAGTTTAGCCGAACAATCAGGAATTAACAGGACTGGTTGTCTCTTTGACAGCCAGGGGGTGTAACTAGGTTAATTTATAAAAGTGCTAATTTCTACTGAAATCTGCACTTTTTGTAAAATAAATAAAAGAGGCCACACTTTTCACACATAAAGCACTTTAGTAAGATAAAATGCTTTAGGGGTCCTCAGTGTGATTTTAAGACCTGTATCTATTCCACAGTTGCAATCATCTCCTGGTTCTAGTTCTTAGTGTAGTGCGGTTTCTTCCTTTCACAACTGTCTCTAGACCTGCTTCTGTTGTTGTTGCATATTCTAATCCAATTCGATCTTCCAATCAAGACATACCTGGCCCTGTCACAATTCTTAACTGCACTATTCAGCAACAAAAGTTCCAGTAGCTACAATATCTCTAATAATAGCAGATAGTAGCTGAAAAGGAGAATGAATCAACCCCATATAGAGGATAAAGGTTGCGAGTATTTTTACAGGCACTGTCAGCCTCACAGACAGGAAGGAGTAGGCTTTGGAAAGGAATGTTAAATGTAATGTCACTGGGATGTAAGTAACAGGCTTAGAAAAACATAGATTTACAGAGTTAGGTGAGGTTGGGTAAATTAAGTCTGTGTTCTGTGCCATAATTTAAATTCCCTCTTCTAGCAAATGCAACCCTTTGGCTTTGAGAACATATGTTTGCAGCCGTTTGGGGTTCACCCAAAATCACAATGCGACACACATCCATGAATTTAAACAGTGTTATTCTATTTTTTTTCACCCCCTATTAAATGAACAGTACAAATATTGCTATATTCTCTTTACTGTATGATATACTTAAAATGATTCACCTACCTTTGAATATATACTGTCGGACAGCATTAAAAATGCCTTGTCAATATTTATATTTTCCTTGGCACTTGTCTCGAAAAATGGTATACCAAACTCCCATGCAAGCTAGAAAACAAGGAAATACTTGCATTTACTAAACATGATTAAATAAACCACATCACTGTGTGATAGATTGAAAACAACCATACATGCCCAGCAACTGGAACATATACGCATAAAAACATTAGGGAACATGTCAAGGTTATTGGCTTAAAAGTAATTTCTTGGGAATTTCAAATCCAAGGTCAAATAAAATTATTTTTTGCAGTTTGGCAGGTTTGGTTAAATTTGAACTTTACTTTAAATTTCCAGACAACTCGTACGTTAGTAAACCCCCTCCCCCCCCCACCTCCCCCCCCCCAAAAAAACCCCTGTTTTTTTGTATTTTTATTGTTCAGCAGTAGAGATTTCAAAAGATTTCTGAGTATCCTTGCTAGACACTAAATTATTATGCAATAACAATATAACGACTTGGGAAGATTATCAATATGTTTACTGGCACATGATATTCATAGTTACGTGATATGTTTAAGTTTAATAGAAATATGTGAGGTTGAATGAAAATAAACTTATTTGACGGGCTTGTTTTGGCTTCCTGCATGGTGATGAGGCAGGAAACGTGTAGATAATCAGAAAAAGTAGCCGGTTATTCTACTATGAAAGTGTTCATGGACACAGAAATAAACAGACTGGTAAAACACTTCTTGTCTGGCTTGTGTTCACTCAATTCCAAGGGGATGATGGAACACCAGTCCATTTTTTTTCAAACTCGTATCATATTATAGGTAAATTATTTTGAATCATTGTGCCAGTTGCAGAAAAAAAATGGACGTTTTCATTTTAAATAACAAAATTATCGACATGAAAAATAAAAATGTGGTTTTCCCAGATGTAAGTGTCACCACATCAAAACACACGTCGGGCAGTTTTGTCTGTTTGTCTCACGATATGGGTAACACTCCGCAACTTTTTTGTGGAGGTTTTTTCTCTGCTCTGCAATGTGAGCTACCTTCTCGGTAGTGTAGGCACACACTTCTGTATCGCGTGCCTAGGTAATCCTAGGGGCTTTGTGATTGTTTAGCTGCTAAGTTGTTTTTTTTACCCAGTGTTATTCCTAGGTTCACCATTTCATGAACCTGGGGCTTTTTTGTTTCCCAGTTTGCCTTCTGGTTAGTTATACTGTGGCGAAACCAACCTCGCCACTGTGAACTGGAGAAGCCTGGTTGCTCGCCTGCTCCCTTTGGACTATGGCCCTGCAGGTTAAACCGTTTATTTCCCCTGCAGAAAGGCTTATTTGTGTGATCTGAGTGCCATTCATCTAATAATGTGCACTCAGATCCCAGCTATCTGGGGATATGTGAAATGTCTGTGTGTTATGTGTAAATGTGACTTTATGTATTTTAAAGTGTTTTGTGTCTTTTTGCAACCATGTGCTTAATGGAGTCTTGTGTCTGTCCTGGGAGATAATTGAATTACTCTCAGGATAGAAGACTCTGAAACTGGTTTGGGCCAGAAAGCCATGCTTCATTTAGTCACAAAGGACTTTCCCTTAACTTTTGAACCCCTGGTCTGATTCGTGCCATTTTTTTATATTTTGTTCCCCTGAATGGATTGATTATGAAAATGTATGTTTTATGTTTGTGACATGTATATTTTAGAAGTTAGAAATGTTGTGTAAAAACTGTATTCCTCTGCCGGTGATAATGAGATTACCCATTGTGTTCAGTAATCATATCACCTGCAGAGGGGAGGATTTTGTGTGGGAGTGTCTGGGTGTATTGTACGGATTGATTGGTTGTTTTGTAACGCCCTATGGGCTGTACTATGTTTGTGGATTGGGAATAAAAGAGACTGTATGTGACAGTACAGGGAGTTCCTGTTTAACCCTCAAAGTGAAGTGTCGTCTCATTATTGGGGGAAGGATTTATTGTATGCTGTTTCAGTTTGACTGCTAGGAGAGTAAACCTATTCGTATGGTTCCTATTCAACTGTCTGCAGCATTCATATGCTTGGGAGAATTTATTTGTTTCTCCGGTTCGGTGATTGTGGTGTCTGCCAGAGTGCTTGGAGTCCTCAGGAAGCGCTAGGAGCATCCTTCAGCGGAGGTACCCAGTCGGGGGTGCCAGGTGATCCGTTACATTGGTGGCAAGCGGTGGGATGGCATCCTAGTGCGAGGTAAAGCAGCTCAGAGACACAGTTCGTTTGGATTACAAAGTGAGGGCAACGCCAGTACCCGTACAGCGACCCTATCTACAAAGGAACCAACGTCGGCAGAGCAAGCATGGCGTCTGACTACACTCAGGAAGAGTTTGACAGAGATGTTGCCATGCGGCTGGCTTACTTTGGCCCCAACCCAGAGGAGAAATACGTACAGTTTGTGAGGAAGTTGGCAGCGGAATACCTGCAGTTCCTGGCAGACCGAACCAAAGGTATCAGCCGCCCTATCCGGGGGCAGAGTGCGTTACGGGGACTCAAAGGTGTACCCCAGGGAGCAGAAGGTGTTGTTCTTCCTCCCCAGCGGCAGTGTGTACCCCAGGGAGCTGAAGGTGTTGTTCTTCCTCCCCAGCGGCAGTGTGTATCCCAGGGAGCTGAAGGTGCAATCCTTCCTCCCCAGCGGCAGTGTGTAACCCAGGGAGCTGAAGGTGCCGTCCTTCCTCCCCAGCGGCAGTGTGTACCCCAGGGAGCTGAAGGTGCCGTCCTTCCTCCCCAGCGGCAGTGTGTACCCCAGGGAGCTGAAGGTGCAGTCCTTCCTCCCCAGCGGCAGTGTGTACCCCAGGGAGCTGAAGGTGCAGTCCTTCCTCCCCAGCGGCAGTGTGTACCCCAGGGAGCTGAAGGTGCAGTCCTTCCTCCCCAGCGGCAGAGTGTCCTGCAGGGAGCAGAGACCGTCAGTCTCGCACCCCAACCACAGGACAAAATAATGAAAGGGGAGACAGCTGGTCCCCCTCTCCACCAGCAGAGAGAGTGTCAGGGAGAGGAGCCTGATACCCCCTCTCCCCAGCGGCAGTTTACAGTTCAGAGAGAGGAGCTTGTTACACCCTCTCTCCAGCGGCAACCTAACCCAGCAAGGGGAGATGTTACACCCCCCAACAGTGCAGATGGGACTGTAGTCTCTGCACTTACAGCACAAGGGGTAGGGACAGTCGGTCCTGTTCCCCAGCCACAGAGCGGTGTATCCAGAGGGGAGACAGTCGGTCTCTCCCTCCCACAACCAGGCTCCCACCAGGCTACTTCCGTGGTAGCACTGGCATCAGGGCAGAGTACCGCTGGTCTCTGCCCACTCAGCAACCCACCAAGGCAGCCTAACAGTTGCCCACACAGTCGTGGTGAGGCACCTGGACATGGACAAAGTTTTCCTCTACCCAGGTGTAGTAACCAGTTATTGTGGGTGGGCTGTACTGCTGTTTCTGTTTTGTGGGTGGGTTGCTGGACTAACCAGGGCACTGACCGGCAGGAGGTCAGATACCCTGTTAGTCTAGTTGGTAAAGGGGAGAAGTGTGGCGAAACCAACCTCGCCACTGTGAACTGGAGAAGCCTGGTTGCTCGCCTGCTCCCTTTGGACTATGGCCCTGCAGGTTAAACCGTTTATTTCCCCTGCAGAAAGGCTTATTTGTGTGATCTGAGTGCCATTCATCTAATAACTCAGATCCCAGCTATCTGGGGATATGTGAAATGTCTGTGTGTTATGTGTAAATGTGACTTTATGTATTTTAAAGTGTTTTGTGTCTTTTTGCAACCATGTGCCTAATGGAGTCTTGTGTCTATCCTGGGAGATAATTGAATTACTCTCCAGGATAGAAGACTCTGAAACTGGTTTGGGCCAGAAAGCCATGCTTCATTTAGTCACAAAGGACTTTCCCTTAACTTTTGAACCCCTGGTCTGATTCGTGCCATTTTTTAATATTTTGTTCCCCTGAATGGATTGATTATGAAAATGTATGTTTTATGTTTGTGACATGTATATTTTTAGAAGTTATAAATATTGTGTAAAAACTGTATTCCTCTGCCGGTGATAATGAGATTACCCATTGTGTTCAGTAATCATATCACCTGCAGAGGGGAGGATTTTGTGTGGGAGTGTCTGGGTGTATTGTACGGATTGATTGGCTGTTTTGTAACGCCCTGTGGGCTGTACTATGTTTGTGGATTGGGAATAAAAGAGACTGTATGTGACAGTACAGGGAGTTCCTGTTTTAACCCTCAAGTGAAGTGTCGTCTCATTATTGGGGGAAGGATTTATTGTATGCTGTTCCAGTTTGACTGCTAGGAGAGTAAACCTATTCGTATGGTTCCTATTCAACTGTCTACAGCATTCACATGCTTGAGAGCATTCATATGCTCCTACGGTTCGGTGGTTTTGGTGTCTGCTGCAGTGCTTGGAGTCCTCAGGAAGTGCTAGGAGCATCCTTCAACGGAGGTACCCAGTCGGGGTGCCAGGCGATCCGTTACATATACCTTATTTTTTTTTTCTGCCACTCACTTTCTTATCTGCTCTGTAGCAATCCTAATTTAGTCAATCTGTAGTGATTTTGTTTTTTTTTAGTATGGTGAGGCTTTTTTATCGGCTTCTCTATACTTTATATTACTTGCTGACTACGCTTTTCTATATCAGTTTTACCCTATTTACATTGAAGATTTTATCTCCTAGGTTCCTCACAGCATATATGCAGATATCGAGTGTCTTTGAGCAGATTAGTCATTCATATTTCACAGTAGGTATGTTTATATGTGTATCTTTGTATCATATTTAATCATTTTAGCCTTTTTCAACGTTCCTACCATCTCTGAATTTCTTTTCAGATTTTGGTTAGGAATACCATTTCTATTGTGTTTTGGTTTACAATTTTTCTATAGGGTTATTCCGTTTCTCCTTTGCTGAATTAGGCATTACAACCCTATTTGCGACCACCCCAAATGATCATTTCTTTTGTTTTGAGCGGTTAACACCACAAATAGTCCATCAAATGACTGTCCTGGTTCATAACGTCTATTGCATTTCACCAAATATGGGACCCTTGCATGGATAAACACCTAATAAACAAATTTCTCTTGTTTTAACCCCTAACTTTTTAAAGACAGAGGCAATTATACAAGACATGAACCAAAAGAGGAC